GGGTTTCCCTTCGTTTTTTTTTTTTTTTGCTTTTGATGAACATTATACGGACAATTAAGTCAGAGTAATCATGTACGTGTCACCCTCCCCTTCTCCTTCCACTCCCCCCGTTACGTCATCCCTCGAGATTTTTTCATAATAATAATAATGATGGTAACATTCCCGCGAGTGTTTAAAAAAAAAAAAATTTTTTTATTCGATTTATGACCGTTTTGGCTGCGAGAGTTTTAAGGTCATTTTTTTTCCTCCCCTTCTCATCCCGTCGTCGGGTGTCAAATTTTTCCCCCCACCCTCACCTCTTCCCTTCCCCTTTCCACACTATTTTTCCGAGGGGTGAGGGAGAAAAAAAAAATTAAAAATTCCTTCTAGGTTTGAAAGAGACGGAGACGATTCGTAAGTTTAAAAAAAAAAAAAAATTCAAAACAAGACTCGGTCGGAAATGATAAATGTAAAAGTTAAAGATATCTTGGTTTATTACAACCCCCAAGGGGGTCAGCCAAGGGTTAAGGGTTAAAGGTTAAAATTGATGAGAAGTGTGACCGCAAACGTTGAATGAAGAAAACAAAGAATTTTTCAACAACTAAAACAACGGGCCAAAATTTAAACCGACGTCGGTTTTTTTTGCTCTCCATTTTTTTTTGCAACTTTCCTTCCCTTCCCTCTTCTGCCCTCTCTCTCTCTCTCCTTCACTCCCCTCATTCCCTCCACGTCTCACCCGCACTTCCCTTCATCCCCCTCCTTTTTTCCCTTTACATTTTACAGATGAAAGGAAAAAAACCTGTCACTCAGTTTGTGTCTCCTGTCGTTCGTTTCGTTTTTTTCCCCCTCTTTGTTCCTGTTAGACACCCGCACACACACACACACACGAAAAACTTTTTAATTTTTAATTTTTTAATTTTTTTAATTGTTTAAACAAATAAACTTTTTCTCTCTCACTCTTACCCTCTCTCTATCTCTTTTTATCGTACTATCAAATTCATACGATCGAAAAATTTCAAAATTTAAATAATAATAATAATTAAAACAACAAATACGAAACAAAATAATGAGTAAAAAAAAAAATAATAATAATAATAATAACAAGCGTTAAATTTTAAATTTTAAAGAAAATAATAATGATGATAATAATAATAATTTTTATTTTTTATTTTCTAAACAAAAGTTTCCAGTAACTGGAATTAATTGATAAAAGTATTGTTAAGATTTTTCCATTCAATTTAAATGATAATTAATCCAATAAAGAAAGAAAGAAAGAAAAAAAAAGAAGAAAATGAAGGGGCCGGAGAAGAAAAATAATAATAATAATAATAATAATAATAATAATAATAATAATAATAATAATAATAATAATAATAATAATAATGAAAATGAAAATGAAAATGAGAAGATTTTTGTAGATTTTAATAACAATTTTTAATTAATAAAAATTATGTGCATTGAAATTTTAATTTATTAAAAAATAATGATGATGATGATCATCATTGTCACGACGGAGACGATGACGTAACGAGAATAATAATGATAATAATAATAATAATAATAATAATAATAATAATAATGAATTTAATTAAATGAAGCAAAAATAAAACAATTAAAATAAAAAAGAAAAGAAAAGAAAAGGAAAAATTTTTTTTTTCCGAGTGTGATTTTTTTTTTTAATTTTTGTTATCGCGCGCGTTATCAATCATTGATAAAAATAATTTTTCTTGCGTTTAAAAAAAAAAAGAAAGAAAATCGATGGAAAAGCGAAAAAAAGGAGAGAGAGAGAGAGAAAGAGAAAAGTCAAAAAAAATGTTAAAATAAAGTCACGGGAATCTTGACAAATATCGATTTTCCAAAAAAAAAAAAAAAAAAAAACTTTTCCTTTTCTTTTTTCGTCCTGTACGCGTTCATCTCTCTCTCTTTTTCTCTATCTCTCTCACTCTCTCATCTTCTTCTTTTTCTCCTTTTCATTCTTCATCTTCATTTCAAATTCTAGACGTTTCTTCGAGTCCAATTATTAAGGGCTACCCACCGAAGCCACCTTATGCGTTTTTCTTTTCCCTTTGGTAAAACTTTTTTTTTTTCATTTTCCTTTGACCGTAATCGAAACATGGTTTTCTTATTTTTTTTTTTTTATCTTTCCTTCTTTTTTTTTCCACGCTCGCACGTGGAATAAGACGAAACGCGGGAAAATTTGAATTTTATTTTTTTATTATTGAATTTATTAAAAAAAAAAAATATCATTTGCGGTCACCCTTAAAAATAAATCAATCATTTTTGTAAAATTCGATTATTATTATTATTATTATTATTTTATTTTCTCTATGGAAAATTTGTTTTTTATTATTATTATTATTTTTTTTATCAAGTTTGTGAACGTAAAATTTCATTATGTTATACGTTTATTTAAGTTACGAAAAAAAAAGACGACAAACGATGAACAGTTGGTCGATTTCACTCTCTCGCGCGTAAAGAAGTAAAGATAATAAATTTGATCATCGCGTGGGCGCAACAACAACAACAACAAACAACAAACAACGAAATTCATACATTTTTATATAGTCTTTGCAACTTTTAAAATTGTAAACAACAACAACAAACAAAAAGTGGATGTTAATTATATCGTAGAATCGAATCGAAAAAAAATGATTTCGCAAAATTCTATGACGTCACGCGAAATCAAAATTATTGCTGTTGTTCGAGCGAAAAAAAAACGAACGTTATTTCATCTGCACGATTTTTTTTTTGTTAATTCATTATTATTACTCCTGCAACAGCAGGGAAAGAAAATTAGGTTGATGATGATGATGATGACGATGCGAAATAGAAAAGTTAATGATCGAAAACAAATTGTTATAAATTTAGAGAGAACGATGACTGACTGTAATAAATAAAACTCTGATGGAAATGTAATTATTTTTATGCCTTTTTTTTTTTTTACTACAGCCATCAACAAACGTTTTCCAAATTAAGAATTAGGACAAACAACAACAGGAGCAGCAGAAAAATAAAAATTATAACATTTTCTTTTTTAAATTTAAATAAAAATAAATTTCGTTTCAAAAATCAGAAAGAAATTTTCGTTTAACAAACACGCAAGTTTTTTTTTTTATTTTCAATTTAAATAAAATAAACGTGGCAGAAGAAAAATAATAATAAAAAAAATTCATAATCAATAATTTTTTTTTTTTCTGTCACCCCTCGAGTACTCGAAATAAATAAAAATGTCTATCGAATATTTTTTTTCTTTTTTTTTTTATTATTTTTCTAACCTTTGACTCCTTTTTCTCATCTCTCGAATTTTACAAAGTGTAGAATCGATGAAAAATCCAAAAAAAAAAAAAAAAAATACATCAAGGGTGAAAAAGAAGCAGAAGGAAAAATAAAGATGAAGAAAAAGAAGAAAATTCGAGATTCGTTTTAGGGGGGTTGCGTTGAAAGGAAAAACTTTATTGGTATGTTAATTTAATTGGAAAAGATCATAAAAAAAAAAAAAAAAGGGAAAACGGAAAAAGGGAAAAATTAAATTAAAATGTCCTTCACACATTAACTAACATGGTTTTCCATGGAATTTTCTATTGAATTACCTACGTACGTAAGAAAAAGAAACAAAGAGAGAGAGAGAGAGAGAGAGAGGGGGTTAAAACAAAAAGAAAATGAAAAAAAAACAACATGAAGAAAAGTGAATAAAATCTGTCCGAAACGATTTAAACATTTTTTTTTCCGTTTTTACAAATATAAAATGGCCATTTTCCTTTAAAGTAAAATAAAACAAACAGACAAACAAACAAACAAACAAACAACAAACATAAACGTTACGAAAAAAAAAAAAATTCAAAACAAAAAGATAAAGTCACGATAAAAAAAAAAAAAAAAGTTAAGAAGAAAAAAACTAAAAAAAGTTAAGATATTAACATTTATTATTGCCCGCCCCCCAATCCCACTTCCGCCACGCCCCCACCTCCCCCCATGCAATAGATTTTGAATATAATCAAAAAAAAAAAATGTTAGTAATTGCACCCTACGGCAAGTAAGAAAAGCAGAAGAAAAAAAAATCATAAACCGGCGTTAAATTCCGCCGTCGAAAACCGGAAAAAGTTTTTTTTTTTTTTTTTTTTTTTTCTGAATAAAAGAAAATAACGTATGACTTTTTTCCTTTGTCATGTTTCCTTTTCCATTATTATCATTTCCATTCAAAGAAACACTCAAAGGACTTTATTTTCGACCAATTTTTTTTTTTTAACCCCGTGCGTGCGTGCGTGAACGCACGCGCGTGTCCTCTTTCGAAAACAAAAAACAAAGCAAAAAAAAATCTCATTTTTTTCTCTTTTGTTTGTTTTTTTGTTTGTCGTAATTGTTTCGAAGATAAAAATCAAATCTGTTTAAAAAAAGAAACAACCGGAAAGTTTTGTACTGTTTGTTTGTTTGTTTTTTCTTTCTCTTCTTCTTAATTTAATTTAGTCCGTCGTTGTTCTTTAACGTTTTTAGAAAATTTTGTCAAATTCAAACTTACGAACAAGCAAAAAAATTACTCAATTTAATTATCATTGCTCAAAAGAGGGGGAGGAGGGGATAAGGGGCACGTGGGGGGTATTAAATAACTACTCACGGGTAATTTTATTACTCGCGTAACGTAAGATTTTTTTTTTTTATTACTCCCGAACAAAATTCATCGTCGTCGTTAATGAAATTTGACAGAATCAAAATTACAAAACCAAAACGGAATACAAAAATTGTAAAATCATCATCATCATTTCAATATTCATTTTGTTTTTCCTTTTTTTCCAGCAAAATAAAAAAAAAGACAGAAAAAAGATAGAGAGAGAGAGAGGAAAAATTATCCGACTCGATATGAATTCTTAATAATGTAAAATGGCAACGACGTTTTCTTATACGTACGTATGTGCACGATGTACGACATTTTCCAGTTTATTTTGTATTCATCACTCACGTTATTCGGTAAATTTTAATGATTTCCTAACTCCCGGAAAAACCCCCCCCCAATCGTAGTATTTATATTAACTCAAGGGAAAATAAACTCTTGGTTGATTTGCCTCGGAGAAAATGAAAAGAGAGAAAGGGAGAGTAAAAAAAAATAAAGTTTTTCACTCACCTTTCCGACTCCCGTAACTTCTTTAACTCCTATCCTACGAAGAAGTGCTGGAGGCATCGGAGGCGGAGTTCGATGAATTGTTCCAGTAAATCCGGTCGACTTATTTCCATCATCATCCAAAGATGCGTGACGTTTACGACGATGAGGAGATGACAAATTTAATTTTTGCGAAGCCCTGAGAAGAAAAAAAAAAAATTGACAAACGAACTCATTTAAAAAATATATTCAGGTATGATTTTTAAAAAAATGGCGGGAAAATTATTCGATTTCCGTCGTGCTCAAAAAAAAACAAACAAACAAATTTTTTTATTTGAATTTAAGTTAATAAAAAAAACAAACGAAAATAAATAAAAATTTTCTTTTTTTTCATTTTCTTCCGCGTAGAGAAGTAGAATAACAAGAAAAAGAAGAAAAAAGTGAAGAGGAGGTGGCGGGGGAAGGAGAAGGAAAGGGGTGAAACCCGGGAAAACCAATTTAAAAAAACTGGAAAATTCTTTTTCGCTGAATTTTATAACATTAATGCCCAAAATTTTTTTCAGTCACACAATTAAAATTGTAATTTTCTTTTTTCTTTCCTTTCTTTTTTTCACGATTCACCGAATATAACGACCTCTCCCTTCTCCTCCCTTCACCCCATTCCACCCTCACCTCCCCCTCCACAAGTTTTTTTTTTTTTTTTTGTTAGTCTGCATTTAATCTCGAAGGCATTAAATAAAATTTTATTTTAAAAAAAAAGTCGAAAAGAAAATAAAAAAGAATAAGAATAAGAAAGAGAGAGAGAGAGAGTAAGAGAGATAGAGAGTGAGAGAGAGGGAAAAAAAATGGCGAAATTAAAGGTTAATTACCCAAAACTTAAATATTTAGGAATGTAAATTTAAAAAAAAAAAAAAAAATGTGAAGTTTATTTTTAAAAAAAAAAGAAAAAAAAAAGAAAATCTTGGAAAAGTTTTCCAGGGCTGACGATTTGTGGAATCAAGACGTGTGAAATTGGAAAATCCCCTTCAATCGTCAACCTCCTCCCTCCCTCCTTCCTTCCTTCCTTTCGGCTCCAGCCTCTCCACCGTCCGTATAAAAAAAAAAAAAATCTTTTTATTTTGGTTCTTCCCTTCCTTCTCTCCCTCCCTCCCCTTGCCCCTCCCATTCCACATTTTCTGTTTCATCTTTTTCCTTATTCTTTGTCTTTTTTTTATTTTTTTTTTCTCCATCGTATTATCATCGTTTTTTCTGTTTTTTTCTGTTTTTCCATTTTATTTTAAACGAGACCGATTTTGCCTAAGGAATACGTTTATTTCCAGTTTAAAACCGATTTAAAGACTTCAAAAGACTTATTTAATGGAATCCTTTTTTCTTTTATTTTTTTTTATGTCTTTGCTTTTTTTCCACCCCCTTCCCTCTCTCCCCTCCCCTCCCCTCACTCCTCCTTTCCCCTTCTACCTGATGACGTTTTCTTTTTTCAAAAAACAAAAAAAAAATTTTTCACGTATTTGTAATCGATCGAACGACGGACCGGAGAAGAAGAAAAAAAAGTGAAAAATTGTTTTAAAAAAAAAGCAATATTACTTCCTGCCACTTTCGACAGAAAAAAAAACATAACGTGGCTGCAGAATTAACAAAAAAACAAAAAAAAAAGATAAACAAAATAAATGAGGACGATGGGAAAGAGGAAAAGGATGAAAATATTTTTTTATTTTTTTTTGTTTTGTCGTCGTTCGATGTTTTTTTTCCTTTTCCATTCCTTTTTTTTCCTTTTTTTCCTTTGTAAATTAAAAATTTTTTCTGTTTTTTTTTAGACTTTGATAAATTATCTAGTAGTCAATCTTGTGTGTAAAATAGAATTTTTCCGCATTCCGTTTCACCATTTTGGGTTCCTCCAGTTAAAAAAAAAAAAAATTTTTTTTGATTACGTCATAATGATTCCTTCCTTCCTCGATCGTTTTCATTCGAATGAAAATTTAACTTCCGGTTAAATTTTTTTCCCTTCTTCATCCTGTTTTTTATGTTTTCAAACGTGATATGATTAAATACGAAAAAAAAAAGTTTGTTTTTTATTTTTATTTATTTTGACAACTTTATAGTAATTTAATGTTTACGATCGACAAGAGAAGAAAACCTTTAAACCTTTTTTCGTTACAAAAAGGATCGGAAAAACTGAATTTTTATTACGGTAAATAAAAAATAATAATAATATGACGTCACTCGTGATTAAAACACATCACGAATGTGTATTTTAAAGTGACGACGACGATAAAAAAAAATTAAAACGAATCGAAATAGATTTTTAAACATGGAATTCAAAATGGCGGCCGTATAATACTCGCGATTAAATTTAAAAATAAATCATCAAGTTTTTTGTTTTTGTTTTTGTTTTCCATTAAGTTTTTTTTTTTTCTATCCCGCAGCAAATGCATCAAACAATAAAAAGTTAAAAGAAATAATAATAATAATAATAATAAAAACGAAAGTAGTTAAGAGAGATGCAGATAATGATAATAACGCGACACTCGCATAAGCAACAACAGCAATTCCATTGCTCCTGCTGGAGGGTAAAAAAAAAAAAAATGTTTCCAGTCACGAAATCCAAAGTTTCATTATTTACCTTGCACGCCATTCTTATGTCAATCCAAAAAAAAAAAATTTTTTTTCCTTCTTTTTTTTTTTATTTTCCTTTTACGCAGTTTTTTTTTCCTTTCCTTTTTCCCTTTTTATTTTCCTTTTTGCACAAAAAAAAAAATTTTTTTTTTCTTTCTCTTTCTTTCTTCTTCTTTTTCTTAATCTTCTTTTTCTTTGATATAAAATAAAATAAAAAAAAAAACTTTTCTTTTGTTGTTGTTATTCCATTACCAAAAAAAAAAAAAAATTAAATTTTCTGTTTGTTCGTTTGTTTGTTTGTTTACATTCGGAGTTGATTTTATTAAAAAACAAAACAAAAAAAAAATTTCCAATCGATAACAAACGTTATAAATTAAAATACATAATTTTTTAAAATTTATTTCTGAACAAAAAAAAAAATTTCAGATATTACGTCACATAAATAAATAAAAAGAAAATCCTTGCAAAAAATTTTTTAAATTTCCCGCCATTTTTTTAAAAAAAAAAAAATTTTCGATATGTCAATTTAAAATATAAATTTCACGTTCGACTATTATTCATTGACGATAATTTTAATAAGAAAAACGTCGCCCGTGGGAAATAAACATAAAAAAAAACTCACACAAAGGAAAATTCTCATCATTTTTTCTAAAAAAAAAAAATTTTTTTTCTGACTCGATTTCTAAAACTCTCACCGACGCCATGATTAATTATTATTATTATTATTATTATTATTATTATTATTATTATTATTATTATTATTATTATTATTATCATTTCACACAAAAATCGATTTATTCAAAAATTATTAATCGTTCATAACCAATCAAAAAAAAAAAAAATTTCCCGCCATTTTTTAATTTTTCCGCGTGTTTCAAGGTCACGTAAAAAAAAATTTTTCTTCCGTTTCCAGTAACGATTTTTTTCCTTTAAAAAAAAAAGGAAATGTTTACTATATAATAATAATAACAACAGTCCACGAGAAAGAAATTAAAAAAAAAAAAAACAAAAACAAAGAAATTTTCTTTTCAAAGTCAATTACCGGAAATAGACAAAAAACAAAAAAAAAAAAAAAAGAAAACCCCCCGGAACAAAAAAAAAACATCATAAAATGTGATGAAAATAATAATAATAATATATATTATATATTATACTGTAACATAATATAAATGATTTTGATTTGATATAAGATGCGATTGTTATTATTATCATTATTATTTTTTTCATATATATAATAAAATTTTAACTCCCCAAAAAAATAAGAAAAAAAAAAAAGAAAAATTTATATATATTGACGATTGTTCTAAATCACGTTTGCGGAAGAATGATTCTTTTAGAAAAGTCGTTAAAGAAAATGACATTTTGGAAAAAAAAAAATTATTAAAAGGAGAAGAAGAAAAAAGAAAAAAGGAAAAAAAGGAAAAAAAAAAGTTTACAACGATAGCACGTTGTTGACGTAAAATGGCAACAAAAGAACTTCTTCCTACAGAGAGAGAGAAGAAGTCCGTCGGTCGGTTTTCGTTTTGACTTAAACCAAAAATGACAGTTTTATCACCCTCGTAAGAAAAGGGGATGGGGTAAAATTTACAACAACAACAACATAAAAACGGATGTGAAACAAAACAAACAGGAAGTGCGTGCGTGTGTCTGTGTGTGTGTTTGTCCGTTTCCACCCAATCGTATCCGTAGTAGTTTACTATTATAACGATTAAATTTATTATTATTTTCTTTTTTTTAAATTGAAAATTTATTGGCAACAAACGCAACAAACGGTCCCAACGGGTACCTGTCGACTTTAACAACAACAACAACAACAACCCCTCGTTTCGAAATTATTATATTTATGTTTTGTTTACGACCGGCGACATTTGGGAGAAAGAAAAAAAAAAGAAAATGACGGTTATTTTTAAGTTTTTTTTTTTCTCTTGTTCTATAAACAAACAAACAAACAAACACACGACGTTTTTTTCCTTTCTTTACTCGTGGTTAAGAGTTTGAAAAAAAAAAAAAATTAATCAAAAACCATCCGACAGCATCTGTTGATAAAATTTAACAAAAAGAAGAAGAAGAAGAATAGGAAAATTTATACTCGCGCGTAAAAAAAAAAAAAAAAATTTTTTTTACCATTCGAATTCTAATAAGAAAATTTTACACGAAAGTTATAAATATGCAACATACGTTTTTTTAAAAATAAAAAATGATTTATTAAAATTATTTTGAAACCTCCCAGTAATTTATTGCATATATATATATATATATTTTTTTTTTTTTTTCAATAGAGGGAAACTATGCAGCTGTAGCTATAGGAACAACAGCAAATAGGGAAAACGAGAAAAGTCGGAAAGAAAAAAAACCGGAAACAAATAAACAAAAAAAAATTATTTATTCATATTTTTCCAATCGTTATTATTATTATTAATATTTTCCCGTTTCAAAAAAAAAATCCGACTTATATTAAATCACATAAGTTAAACGAAGGAAAAAAATGAGGAAGTGGAGGAAGAAGAACCGGAAGTTGAAGAAGAAGAACCGGAAGTGCTAGTGTATTCTAATAATTCGACTACTCGGAGGATAGGTAAAGAGGATAATTTAGAGGCGGGGATTCCGGGAGTTGATTTCTCAC